TTACCAAACACATTTCTGTTCCTAAACTATTTCTGAGAACAAAAGAACATAAATTTTCACTGTTTGGCACGTTACCAAACGGGCCCGAATTGTAAATTAATTATTTGACGTGTAGAATCAAAACTATGATATTCTGTATTTGACGCAAATTGTGAACCCGATTATAACTTGCTGCCCACAGAAATGGGCCATGCTTAGCGGATAGCGGGACAGAAGATGAGGTACCAAAACTACTCGACCAAACAGCTCGACCGGACCCGACTAGAACCGAAATCCTCGAGCCGGTTCGGTTATGGTCGAGCTAGTTTCTGTTTAGGACTGTCGAAACAAGGAATGCGATTGTTCGGTTCGGTTTAGACTAACCCCCTGACACTTGTTAGTGGTGAAAGTAAGTTCGTTCTTGAACCTTCAAAATACCAAATAGAGAATTGAAAATGAGAAGGACACAAGCGGGTTGTGTGTTTTACTTGGCAAAAAAAAAAAAAAAGACAAATCGGTGTGTTTTCCTTGTCATTAATGGTACCGAAAAAATTGTCTAAAAAGTTATAAACTTATTGCGATTTTGTCAATTCGAGTTCTAAATCTTTTAATTTTACCAATTGAATCCTAAATCTTTTTAAATTTTTCCAATTGAGTTCATCCGGTCAATTTTAAACGGAAATTTAACCGGAAATTGCTGATGTGGACACCGGCTATCTTACATGGTACGGCTGACGTCGGTGTTGATAGTTTTTAATAATATTTTAGTTTTTTTTATTGGTATTTATACTTTTCTTTTCTCTTTTTTTTTCTTTTTAATTCAATTATAGCCTCATTTTGCTAGCCATATATAATGTGGTATATTTGAGTTCCTTCCTTGCCAACTTAGGAGGGCATGCAACCAAACATTGTAAGCACTAAGCAGTTTACCTAAGATTCTTAATAATCACATTCCTTCTACATATATCGACGCAAAATTCGTCTTGATCCAATCCATTCCACATCAAGGAACGATTTCGCGGTCCTAGAGGTGACCGCTATGCTGTTCCCAGAAGAACGAACCGAAGACAGGCTGAACAATATAGGTATTAAGAAATGGGGTTTCCCGAGGATCTAAAACCTAGATCACTTGCAAGTTCTCTAGAGATCCATGGCCAAATGCTTGTGGAGAGTGCCACAGATCGCGTGACTGGAATGACAAAACTATAGATACGACTCTTTAGAGAATCGAAACCACAGCTGAAGAAGGCTGAAACCACTGACCATTGAATTATAAACTATTGCCGAAGAAGCAAGCGTGGTAACATCGTGATTTATTTGCAGATGCCAATAGAACTAAGAATAAATCAAGCACTCACAGCTGTGAATCCCAGGATGTTCAAGTTTCTGCTGTCTGAAATGGATGCTGGTGGTGAAGATACTTCTCGAGCTCGGGATGGAGGCCGAGGGGGAGCCACATAAACAACCCTCATCTTGCCCTTTTCGATGTTGCAGCCCGGTTCTTCATTGAACTGGAATCCGACACCGACAAACTCTGCTAGTTTAATATCTGCATCAGCAGAACCTAAGTCGAGTCTCTGTGATACCCATTACCATTTCTCGCGTGATATCCTTCGCGGTCGCCCCCGGACTTGCAGTTACACTTCGAATGAGAAACTTATCATTGCACCGCATGTCGAGAGGTGCTTCCTTTGAGCTTGCATTGTAACTGCATGGTAAGCATGATAGCACTTATAAGGGCATAAAGATTGAGTTTGATTAAAGACTTGGAAGTCGATCAATCATGAACACGAGAGAACAATTGAGGATTGTCTCTCAAGATGCGAATGCTCGCATATAAGCGAAAGTCGAGCAAGAGAGAGAGACCTACAACATCACAGGTAGACCTAGGCAACACGATTCCACGATTAGGCCTGACGCCGTAGTTCTTCGGTTTCGTCGTCATCACCTGCAAACACCATAGAGGACGCATGCAAAGAGCACTCAAATTCAGGAAGAAGAAAAGAGCGCAGCGAGGAAACGGAAAGTGAAAGGACATGCAAGAGATTCGCCGAGCCGTGGAAGATCAAATTATACCTTGAAAGCTACATAGTCGTCGGTCTTGTTCGACTGCCGGAGAGAGCAAGAGATCTCCTTCCTCAACTCGACTGAGCAAACATTAGCAAAATCAGACATGGGATTCGGAAAAAGAAGAAGAAGAGCAAGAGTTGACTCTAACGAACAGAGATCGAAAAGGCAACGTGGCAGTTCAAAGATTAAAGAACCCGATGAGGCTTACAAGAGAACTGAAGCTCCTAAGGTTCGATGCTGAGGAGATCGCCGGTGCTCATGGCGGGATCAGAGGGAGGGATCGGAGGCGAACCCCGAGCTTTTCTCTGCAGCGACCGAGAGCGAAAGAGCAGAGAGAGACACAACGCCGGAGTAGGATGGCAACGTTTGTAAGCCTCATCGGATTTTGACTCGACGTAAAAATATTTGGACACAAACTTTGGGTTCCGGCGGGCTAGGGTTTATCACGCCAGTGCTTTGACTACGTCCAGGAGGTCTACCAAATTTTATAGGCAGTTTTCATTTGAGATTCTTAATAATGTCATTCCTAGAATCATACATGTGAACGTCAAGAGGTTCAACCGGAAATTCGTTTCGATCCGAAATCCGTTCCATATCGAGGGATTGATTTCGCGATCCTAGAGGTATTAAACATAAGGGATTTCCCGAGAATCTAAAATCCTAAATCTAGTTCGCTTGCCGACTCTTTAAAAGCATCCAAGACTAATAAATGCTTTTGGAGAGTGTACAGGATCACGAATTTTGGGGATTTGATCACGCTATATTAATTTAACGTCATTTCCGTACTTTTTTCTCTTTTGCGAAAAGGTTTGCTTTGACGTATGGTGAGCAATTCAAAATCTCCTCTCTTTATCTGAAGGGGCATGCAATGTTCATCGGTGTTATTATCTCTAAATTAACTATCATGTAAAATGTGATATGCACAGGTGCACAAACAATTAAAATGAACAAATGGAAAATTACCAAAATATCATACACTTATTGCATTTTTGCCAATTTAGTCCTAAACATTTTAATTGTGTTAATTGAGTTATAAACTTTTTCACGTTTTGCCAATTGAGTCCATCAAGTCAGTTTTGGCCGGAAATTATTGACGTGGATGCCGACTGTCTTACGCGACCCAATCGATGCTGACGTGGACAATTTTAATAATATTTTAATATATTTTTTTCCAATTTTTTTTATTAATTTTTTAAATTTTCTTCTTTTTTTCCCTTTTTTTCTTTTGTCCAACCCACTGCGGCCACTAGGTCAGGGCTGCGAAGCCCTTGCCAGTTGCGAGGGTCACACGTTGGAGGGTCGCAGCCCTCGCTTGCTATTGGCGAGGGCTTCACGGCCCTAGCCTATACCATGGCAGCCCTTGCCTAGACTTGGCAAGGGCCACGAGGCTGCAGGCGAGGGCTGTGACCCTCGCCGGCTACAATTAAAAAAAAAGGAAAAAAAGGAAAGAGAAGAAAATAAAAAATAAATGAAAAAAAATAAATCGAGAAAAATATCAAAATATTATTAAAATTGTCCATGTCAATGCCGGTCATGCCCCTAGGACGACATGCATCCACTTCAGTAATTTCCAGTTAAAATTGGCCGGATAGACTCAATTAACAAAACGTAAAAAGGTTGAGGACTCAACTGACACAATTAAAAGATTTAGGACTGAATTTGGTTTAGGACTTTTTTGGTAATTTTCCTAATCAATCTTGTCACACCTGAGATTGCCCCATGTTACTTCTATCAAAAACAACCGAAATCGACACATGTGGTAAGCATTTTCAAATATGGGCAAACGATAAGGTTGAGATCACAGGGAAGTGTGTTTCTAATCCGATCGCAATATCCGGTTCGAAGGCTTGAGAGTCGATTCTGATTTGGTTCCAGTACAGAACATTTTCAAGCAGTCATGCATACGCCAAGGCAGGTTTTGGCCAACAATACAAATCTCTCTTATCAGTAACAGCATCACCGAGCTTTGTTTTTAATCAAGGTGGCAAATCGGACGAATATCACACTTACAACTTTATATTATCGCACCAACATTTCAGATAAACTCAAGAGCAAGACAGTCAAAGGATTACCTGTGCAGAATAATCATTAATCACAGTACAGCGAAACGGGTGATTGCACATTAATTCTGATAAAATTGTGGATCATATGTTGCCGGCTTTGTGCACTGCAGTGATATCAGAACGCGACTTTGCACCGAATGAATGGCTATTTCCAAACAAATCGAAACGGCATCTCACAGATGTGGCCATGACTCAATTCAAGCTACGAGTAGAAAAGGGGACGCCATATGCCAAGACAAGACCGATGCAAAGCAGAAGAACACTGTATCTAAAGCTTAACAGATTGCCGGCAGAAGTCACCTTTTTTTTTTCCAAGGAGTAAGGTGACTAACATCAAGTCAGCTTCGACTTAGAGGCTAAACAATGGTTTAGCACCTGCCTAATCATGATTATCCTGGTGAGACTGCAGGGCATGCACAATGCCGAGGACTATAAGTACCCGTCATGCAGACTGTCAAAGATCAAGTTTTAACCTGAATAGTCATCTTTTTTCTTTACCACTGAGACAGAAGGGGGCAATGTATTCCTTAAGGAATATAAGTCACATCTGTCCTGTTGTGAGCAATGTAAGCCTTAGAAGGGATAACATGCCTCCTTTGTTCTTTCACCACAGTGGGGGCGTGGTGAAATGGCACGACATACGACAGTCCAAGACAGGACCCAAGATTGAATTTCGAGTCGGGCACAATTGGTTGACAGGCCACACTTGAATTGGGACGCGGGGTATAGAATGGAAAAGATACGAAAAAAAGTCATTTATACTCAAGAACCAAAATAAAATTGCCCATTTGCCCTTCTACTCATTGGAATAACATAACACACATCTGCAGGACAAAGACAAACAACCTGTTCTTGGGATGAACTGTAGAAAAGCAACTGGCTTGAACCTTAAGGCACAAGAATCTTTGATTGTATTGGTAATATGTCAGCAGATATACACCAGAAAACACGAAGAATGCCAATGAACCACATATTTTCAAGTTCCAACGCAATATAGTTGATAATATGCTGAGTTATCTACATGTTTGATTGTGAGAACTTACCATCCAACCATGACTAACTATATACAACCTAACCATCAGCAGAAGCAGATCCTCTCCAACGTGTTTGATCAGAGGCACCAGCGAACCAAGCAACCCTCATGAGCTGCACACCAAGTATAAGCACCCACCAACACACCAGGCCCCTAAGCGTATGCAACATCCACCCAGGAGCATTCATTTCAGTCCCAAGCTTCAAACCCCTCATCAGCTGTAATACCCGGTAAGCCTCATAAACAACCGGTGTCACTAGCCAAACAGGAGATTGCCAATGCCACGTCAGCATCTCAGTCAGAATTTGCACAAACAAAAGCAACATGTATGGGCCCAACAGTACTGTGAATGAGATGAGTGGCAGTTGAGGTTGGAACAAGCCCTTTTGACATCCAAAGAGTATCATCGAGGGAACAGTAACTCCCACAATAGCAGCAACCACATTCCAGAATTGATAGCTAAAAGGAACCTTGCTGTACCGCTCCTGCACCAATTTTGTCGGCTGGGCACAAGAATCGGCCATGAGGAAAAAAAGCGTAGCACCCAAGTTAAAGATGCAATCCAGCCCAACCAATGAAAGCAAGCTGGCGATGTTAGGGCCTTGGAAGACTGAAGATATCGGCAGCCATAACGTTGGCATCATGCCTGTCAAAAGGAGGACAGAAGGACCCAGAAGCCACATTGGCCATCTAAAAAACATAGTCTTTAACAAATTCTGATTATTCGTGCCAGAAAGCTCCTCCGCCTTTTTCACTTCCAGTGCCTCAGACGCGCTCTCGGAGCTCAAGTTTTCAAATAAGTTGGTGGTTTTAGTAACAAGGTTATCTCCATCCTCTCTCGGTGAATAAATATTTGGCGAAGGTTCCCACTGAGACGTCTTTTGACAGCGGATAACGGGAAATTTACCTGGAAGACAGAAGCCACGAATATGGAGAAGACATGATGATTTCAAGCTCAAACATTTCCATCTCTGAGAATGGGTTCTGACTGCAGCAGTAGACATAGCAGATGGACCGTGAGCTAAAATCGCTGCTCCTTGATTCATAGTTTTGAATCTTAGTTGGATCTTCACAGTTTTTCTTGCAGCTACCCGCTTGATCTCAAAGGCCTAATATTGACAAGTCCAGTGTGAACATGAAGTGAAATTTCAGATCTAGAAATACACAGGCACACGACTCGCAATCATCAGAGTTTAAAAAATCCTCGAATGCTAAAATATATGAACACAATATAAGCCGATAACAAACAATCGCCAGTTCTGCCTTACAGGTCAGCTAAGCACCTCAATAACACTAGCAATTATTTCATCGACCATCGATGAAGACAGGGTAAGGCGAACTTAAAACGCATGAAGCAATATGAGCCTGGAAGGCACTAATCGCCATTATATCACGTTTCAATCATTTGTTTCTTCTTGTATGAATGATTCAGCAAGCTTCACCAATTGATGTAGGCAACAAATTCCTTATCTGACCATGAAATCCAATGTCATCACCTTGGTAATGACTCTGTCTCAGACCCAACAAACATAATTTATTTTATTTACTGTGGATTGATGAGGCAGAGCTTGTACTAATCATAAAACTGAAATGGACAAAGAGCACCTACTTTCAAGAAAACGAATAAGAATTCCAAATCTCAAGCGCTAGCAGATTGTCATACCCAAGACAGAAAAGAGCAAAAACAGAACCTAATTGACGACAGAGCAAAGAGTACTCTCACATCGATCCTCCACAACGAAGCAGAGTGCAAAGAAGAGCAGAGGAGAAAAGGGTTTATGAATTGGAGGTCACAAGATTCAATTCGGACTCACCTCGCTCTGGATAGCTGCGTCTCTTGGAGTTTTGGAGCAGAAGGCTGGAGCTCCCCGGTCAGACTTCAGCAACCTGCTCTGTACTTGCGGCTTCGACTTGTACGTTTTATATATAATAGCCTTCCTTAATTCTCCCATCATGGTGAGAAAAAACTACAAAATGGTTACTCAAGTTTGTTTCCCGTTTCACTTTTGTCCACCTATAAATTTGCAATTGCATCCCTTACCTTCGAAAACGTTTTCGATTTGCACCTCGAGTTTTATCATCAAGAGTCGGATTGGACCGAATTGACGCTTTTCTTATCATGAAGACCCCTACCATCTTCTAATCCCAGCTCGGAGGAAGAGCAATTTGGTCTTCTATGCTACCCTAAAAATGAGAAGTTCGGGATTTTGAAAGTTGGGATTCAAATTCCTCCACCGGAAACCATATACGGAAAGTTTGGTAGAGTCATAAAAAAAAAATTAAGTCAAAATACATATTACCCGCATATAGAATAGAAATTCTCTTTTGAACAATTATTGTCTAATTTATTAACAATATGCTTTGCTAACATGACATGATTAATCAAGAATAATTTTTAAGAATTAGGATGAGCTGGGACAAATGGAAGGAAATCTGGGAGAAGCTCCCGAGTACTTGGAATTGCGTGCAGATTACATATGTATACGAATTTCCCTGTTTTTTTTTTTTCCTTATGCCGATTTAAATTGGTGCTCGGATTTACGTGTATATTTGAGCTTTTACTAATCAAGCCGAATTGAAGTCAAGCTCGAGCATTTAGAATGCCGGGCCTAGCTAAGCTCCAAGTGAAGGTTGAGAGATAGAATCTAAACTATGACACGCCTTAATTTCTAACTTTTCGGGTCCAGTTTAGAGGCGATAAACGAAATTAATGGACGGGTTTGATGATAGCACGACTTAATTATCAATACCCCTTAGATTGTGGCAAAGGTTCGGATCATACAAGTCAGTTTCTCTCTGATCTCTACTTATAAAAATGCCTGTAGCTTACTCGTCGCGGATGGTACGCATCTTGAACGGCACATAAGAACGCGTCACGCGACGTCGCTGATTTCTACTAGCATCATACGTATAGCGGTAATGACAAAGTGTCCCAGCCATCAAGAAATCTGTATAGGAGAATTAAGCTGCAAGAATCGGGCGAGATCGGAGTCCGGCAGGTTGAGAGGGGGCAGAGAGAATTGGCTGATCGTCGAGCTCCCTTTCCTCATCTCCTGCATCGTCCTCAGCGCGACCACGGTGTTCCGGAAGATCCCGTCTCCAGCCACGGGGTCGGAGACTCCTGCCTCCTCTTCGGGTCTCGCCTTCTTGCGCTCCTCCATAGGGAAAACCGCGTCGATCGTGCCCTCGCATTCCTTGATCAGCTTTGACACGAGGTCGGTTGTGAAGAAGGGTTGCTGCAGGACCTTCTGTATGAACGGCAGGCGCAGCAGCCCGCCCGTCCGCTTGTCATACTTCTTGAGTATTTTGGCGAGCCCTGCGAAAACGAAAGTCCAGTGGATTTAACGATTGGTATCGCGGCGATGTGTTTCTAATTCGCGTGATTGCTTCTCGACGACAAGGGCCATGTCGGATTTGAGTACCTACCTGTGTAGTTGATGTTGCTGTAGTTCATCAGCAGCACCATCTCGCCGTGGAAGTCGACGATGTCCTTCCTGATCTTGGTCATCTCCTCCTTGTAAAGCTTCTCTGAAGGGTGACTTCCTTTGTCTCCCCAGGTGCTAACCACTTTCTGGATCCTCTGCTGAAGCTCCTGCGAATTCAATCACCTTGAGATGATTACTACTTTTGCTAAACTCATACATGTCGGCAGTCGCCATCTCTCGATGCGAAGATCGCCCCGTGCTCGCACACCCTCTATGAGAAAAAAACCAGATTGAATGCTGTCATATCGTTCTCAAGTGGGCAAGAATGGAGATTTGGTCTCATATTCAGTATAGACATTGCTTACAAGGGACTTGAACAGGAACTAGGCATTTCAGCTCGGACATATCCGGTCAGGATCGTCGGACTCGACTTAGTTTGTCCAATCGAAACCTTCTCTGCAGATCGGCTATTGAAACAAAACGACTCCGACGGTTCAGCGAATAGAGAAAGATCGGAGAGATTTTCGTAACAGGACGCGGGAAATCTTAGTTTCGCCAAAGCTTTGACAACAGGGATATCTAACTTGTGCTGCTGCTACGCTCATCCTCTCCCAAGTCGCAAAACATCCCTAACATTCTTCATCTTCTTGACGTGGTAGTACATGTTTCTGATGGGCGTTTTCACCAAGTGCTGTAAAGTACACTTGAGTTTGTGAATGTGATACACTCGTTAGGTGGGTTTTGAAACCAAGAAAATTGTCTCGTTGGGTTTATAGTAGTTTAATCTCTAACCTTCTTGACATGTTTTTGCTCCCCGAAGCATAGAACACGGATTCGCATGTACATTGGGCCCCATACGGCGGACCTCTATAGTCAACGAGTCAACTCAGCCGACGGTATCGCGCGGTGGGTCCCACGCACGACTTAGCCGTCGAATAAGACTTGTACACCTGCGCTGTCAAGTTAGATTCATACGACAGACCTCTACAGTCAACGAGTCAACTCGGTCTACCTTATTGATTCTATGGATCTCACGTATGATTCGGCCGTCGAATCGGGATTTATTTTATCTCGGCTGTCAAGTTAGACCGTTAACCAAAGTCGGATATTCTAGGGTCATAAACCGAGACGACGCGTTTTCTCCTATGCCCAACCTCGCATGCACGCGACCCAAATCGTTGCATCTAACATCGATCGAAGTGCCAACATCAGTTTTGCCAAACACGTATAAACTCACATGATCATTAATTTAGCTCATACCTACTCTATACGCGGGACCCATCGATGATCCGAGTACGCGTTGCGGGGTCCACTCATACATGTCGTGACGTCGCATCGCACTTTCGACGGCGGAGATGGACTGCCTAAAAATAGTGTAGATTAATAGAATCGGCTCACCTAATTCGCTCCCCCTATATCTTGGCCAACCCCCAAGAACCAATTTCAACACGGCCAGCGCTTCACTAAGTTCGAAATGCAACCAAATCGAACCTAGTCACCGAGTTTCCCGATGGGTCAACTCACAGCTGACTCAGCCAACTCGTGTGCCCCAAAAAAAAAATATTGGCTTTCCTTTCGCAAACTGGACACGCCTATGTCCAAATTTGCGCTGCATGAACTTTGGAAAATCAGGAGAGCAGAGAAGGGGAGGGAGAGGGAACTCACCCTGTGCCGGATGATGAAGTCCTCCTCCTTCTCCACGAAGAAGGAGTTGAACTTCTCGATCTCGCCGTGCAGCAGGTACATGAACTCGGCCTCGGCCCTGCCGTACGCCGGGTGTCCGGCGCCGGCGCCGCCGCGGGGGGGCGCCGAGGAGATGAGCCTCACCAGCTTCTTCAGTTCCTTGTAGGACAGGAACTTGTCGCACCATCCGGGCAATGTCTCTTGGATCTGCTGCTTCAGCCACTTGCCAAATTTCATGGATAAACCAATCTAAGAAGACAAGGGACTCCTGTCAACTGAAACCCACCAAGAGGGATCGACCCAAGCTATGGATCAAAGGGAAGGAGAGCGAGAGTTTCTCGGGTACGTGCGAATGCAGGAGAGAGAGAGAGAGAGAGGGAGAGAGAGGACGAGAAGTGGGTGTGTTTTTTTTTTTTATATATATTAAGCTGGATGGTTTAGTAGAATATTTGGAGGGCATATGCTTGGCGTGATGAAGTGGCGAGTAGAAAAAGGCATAAATGCGAGTCGTTGAAGTCAGAGAATTCCCCAGCATATTCGGTTCCTAGAGAGTCGCGCTTTACGACCGGAACAACAGGAGTAGGAACGCGAGGAACCGAACGACTTTTCCTCGGGCCGTCGTGAAACGACGACAATTCGAACCGGGCCCCAAACCTGCCTCCGCCGCTCGGGTCACGGCGCCCGTGGCTCGCCGTCGGCCCGCGCCCTCCCCCCCCCCCCCGATCCGGCGGGGTGGCGGCCGTGAGGAAAGCGTTCCCGTCACGTTGTTCGGAGCAGCACTGAGGTTGAAAGCGGATGATTCCGAGGAATCTGCTGAGGAATCTACCATTAAAGAACTTGGAAAATTTAGCTTATTGGGTGATGGAAAGTTGGTGACCGAAGGAAGGAAAAAACCCAATTCTAGGAATAATATAGTTCTTTTTCGGTGTTCTGGGGAAAGCAGCTAAACAACCGTCCGGTCATTGGCTCGTGAAGCGGGGCCCGCCCCGGATTTGGGCATATGGGGAAGCTTCCTAATGTCCAAACGGGAAGCAGCATTAGCTTGGTGAGGAAAAACAAAGCGTAAATGTGTCGAGGTTTGAAGGGGCCTTGTCGAGGTTTCAATGTATGATTCGGAGAACATTGGCTTGCTTGCTAAGAAAATGTGTCGCCTCTCGGGCTACGCGCCCTTTTCAGGTTACGTACCGGACGGAGATCTTTGAGTTTTTCGCGACATTCGATGATTTAGGGAAAATTGTCTCGAGAAAAGTCATAAACCTATTGAACTTTTGCCAATTCAGTTCTAAAACTTTTAATCTTGTTAAATGAGTCCTAATCATTTTCACGTTTTGTCAATTGAGTGCATTCGGCCAATTTTGACCGGAAATTGCTGATGTAGACGCCAACTGTCCTACGCGACACGGCCGGTTGTCCTACGTGGCGCGTGAATAATTTTTAGCAATATTTTAAATATTTTTCGAATTATTTTTTTTCTTTCCTTTTGCTCCCTTCTTCTTCCTCCAGTCTGTCGTCAGGCCCAAGCGAGGTCGCCCCTTGCCGATGCTCAGTGTGGGTCGGCCTTGCCCGCTTGGGGCAAGGCTTGACCTCGACAAATCTGGCGAGGCAATCCTCGCTAGCCTTTGGCAAGGCTACCCTTGCTAGCCTCTGGCAAGGGCAATCCTTGTCGAAGGCCGGCAAGGGCCGGTCTTGCATGCATTGGCCTTTGGCAAGGGCGACCCTTGTCAGTTGTTTCCTTTGGCTGATCACCGGCTATTGCCCAAGCCCGCCAACCGGCTGGAGGAAGAAGGAGGGAGGATAAAAAAGAAAGAGAAGAAAAAGAAAAAGATAAAAATTATTTAAAAACGATAAATTTCCCCGATAATTTATCTCGGCCCTCCTATGAAAGTGTTTCTTTTCCATGTTGTGTTAGACGTGACGACGAAAGTGATATGGGTGCGGACAAAAGTAAGTTCAAAAGATTTACTTGTGTAGACACACATTTGTATAAATCGATAAGAAAAACATAAGACAAACTAATTTGGCGAAGAAAACTAAATTTTTCTCGGCAATTTAATTTAAATGTTTTTGCTGATACTCATTTATCAGACTAATCCTTCTTCTTCTTCTTCTTCTTCTTCTTTGCTTTAGTTTCGTATAATGAACTAATTTGATAAGAGAAAATCAATCATATAAGAATAAAACTAATTTCTACAAAAGTATGAACTTTATCTTCTTATTTAGATCGACTATTAAAAGAATAAATACGCACTTTATTGTTACCGGTTTCAAGAGAAATAAAAGAAAATCGACACGTGGCACGTACACGGCAGCCCATTCTATATGATGCATCCGTTAGTGGATACATATTAATTGGGATAAAAATTATTGCGACGATAATATTAAAGTATTTGTTTATTGTCCTAAATTTGATTTGTACGCATAAGTACATTCAACAAAATCGAAATTATTTTTGCATATTTGGATTCAACTGCACAATACTTTTTAGTGCTGTCGACAAAGCAAAATCCAAAACCATAAAAGACGCATGATATAGATAAGTTGGCCGAAAACAAAAGACAAATTTTTGCTTTGATTGGATTAACAAACTAAAGAGGATAAATAAATAAATAAATAAAGTTGTAGGAAAAATCCTGTGTCAGTTAAAAAATAAAAAAGACAAAGAAATAAAAAAAAACGACAGTACAAAATTAATAAATAAAAAAGTTTCGGCACCTCCAGCAAATTCAATCTAAACCGAGGATAAACTTTGTACCAAAGCAGCTATTCTCATCATATTCTCTAACAACCAAATTTGACTTTATCAAACTTAATGATATTCTTTGTCATATGCTTATTGTACAAAAAACAAATTAAAGAATGTCTTAGGCATATACACAAGAATAACGTCATATATCCGACCAAACCTTTTCTGCTCGCCCCGTCTAACTAAATGACCCTTCTTGTACGACATTACACATTGAACCCATCAAATCTTTGTTGAGGCTTGTGTTCTTCTCGCGGTCATCAATTGAAAGTGGGCTTCACAAAATAACACGATCTAACAAGGTGAATACAAGAAGTAAAATTGTTGAGAGGCTTTAGAATCTGATATTGAAGTGATTATCCCGAAACAAATTACCGGAACATGATTTCCGAGCTACATTACAAACCTAGAAAAGAGAATCTTGCTTTCCGTAATACTAGATTAAAATGTTCGCATGATTTCGCGGGAGGAAACGAATGCAACCCTTGTGATGGCTTCTAATGTATATTGATGGTTTTCTCTAGCTTTCCAAGACGATGATCATGTTAACCATGCATTTATCTATCTCTATTCTTTTTATTATAAAGCGAATACAACATAATTTTACATCTCAAACTTTTGTGGAAAAACTTCTGGTAACATTATAATCAATCGTGACCACGTATTCCTAAACAATGCATAAAATGGTGATTTAAAAGGTCAACATATATAATAAGGGGAAAAGTGACTACAAGTGCCATAACTTTTGTACAACGCTTACTTTGGTTACATATTTTTTCAATCGATCACTTAAATACTATAATTTTTCACTTGAATAATTTTTTAAAAGTTACGGGATTCAAATGATCGATTGAAAAATTATGACACCCAAAAGAGTGCTATATTTGACAAAAAAAAAAGAGTGTTGTTGTTACTTTTGGCGTCCTTAACCCTAAAACAATCATACAATCACATAAATCTCTTAAAATGTTAGAATTTAAGATTACTTCAAATTATCAACTATTTAAATTTATTTATTGAAATAAGACAAATTTCACTTTGTCATGCATCTATTCATTTTCTTTTTTCGGTTATATACAATGCCTTTTTTGCTATGTGCCTATATACATATACATATATATATATATATATATATATATATATATATATATATATATATATTATCTTGTGTAAATCATACACAGAGAAAGAGGGAAAACTATCAAAAAATCCTATTCAAATATTTTTCCATCGCCTAGGGCCTTCGTGTTGCTACCTTCCTAGTGGTGAACTACTAAGAGAAAGCCAATGATTACGAAGCAAACACTTAACACAAATACTCTCAAGTCCATACCAATTATAACTTTGGAGTTCTTATTTACATACTTAAACATGAAAATCAATTCATTTTGGAGTCGCCACGAATCTATCATAGATCAATTAGAAACCCAATTAAAATGTGAGATAATATTTTACTTTTGCAAACTAAAGATTTCATGAATATGAGAACTTGATTACACAAGATAAATATAAGGCCCTTTCGGATTATTTTATTTTATTTCAAAAATATTTTTGAATTAACCTTAAGCCACTGACAAGCAATATGCGATGCCGGTGGCAAATATGCATCGATGAACTAAGGTAAAATCTGAGTGACATGTAAGCCATATTATAATTAGATTTAAAATGTAACATATATGCAATTACAATGACACAATAGAATTTAATAGCCCTATTATTCAAAGAGACTATCTTAATGTTTTCTTTCCATAAATAAAAAACTAAACTCTAGGATTTCTTTCCCATGTTGTATCAGATGTGATATCAAAAATGATTTGAAGTAAGTTAAAAAGATTTACTCATATAGAAAGACATTTGCATGATTCGATAAAAAAAAAAAGTAAAGTAAACTAATTAGGTGAAGGGAACTAATTTTTTTTATCAGCGAGTTAATTAAAGTAAGTTAAAAAGATTTACTTATATTTTGTTTTGTTTTTGTTTTTTGCTTTAGTTTGATAAAATGAACTGATTGGATAAGAGAAAATCAATTGTGTAAAAAAAAATAATTTATACAAAAGTATGAGCTTCATCCTGTTATTTAGACCGTATATTAAAAGAATACATTAACACTTTAATTGTTAGCGGTTTCAAGAGAAATACAAAATTGACACGTAGACACCCGTCACTGGAATACATGTTAATTGGGATGAATATTATTGTGACAATAATACGAAAGTATTTGTTTATTGTCCTAATTTCGTTTTGTCACACATAAGTGCATTCAACAAAATCGAAATGACCGTTTTGTATTTGAATTCAATTGCACAATACTTTCGAAGGGCTATCAACAAAGTAAAAAGAAAAAGATTATTATTTCTTTGACCGATTAACAAACTAAAGAGGAAAACAAATAAAGAAAAAAAGTCGTAGGAAATCTTATGTTAGTTGAGAAGAAAAGAAAAGACAAAATTTTACCGAGAAGTGACAAAACAACAGGATACTTGTCCAAAAAATCATAAACCTATTATACAGCGGCCATTCAGCCCTAAACATTTTAATTGTGTCAATTTAGTCTAAATTTTTTTACAATTTGCCAGTTTAGTTCTAAATTTTGCAAGTTTTGCCAATTAAGTCCTAAATTTATTATTTGGATAATTAGCCGAAATGACTATATTGACAGATTGTTAAAAGGTCTAGGACAAAATTGGCAAATCGTCAAAATGTTTAGAATTATATTGGCATAATTTTTTTTATACTGGCAAAATTGAAAGGTTTATTTTTTCTTTGATTGGATTAACAAACTAAAGAGGAAATATCAATAAATTAATAAAGTTGTAGAAAAAATCTTATGTTAGTTGAGAAAAAAGAAAACAAAGAATTTTACGAAGAAATAAAAAAGGGAACAAAAGTACAAAATTAAAATAAA